ACATACATACATACATACATACATTCATTCTGCTCTGCATGTATTGGTTGGTGTTTTTCTTTAGGGTTTTAAAATTAATCTACAGAATTATGCATGCCAATTTGTGTCCACGTTGTAAAAATAATAATAACAATAACAATAATAATAATAATAATAATAATAAAACAAAACAAAGCAAAAAAAAACTTCTCATTGCATAAAATGCTCTACATGCTTTTTGTTTTAGTGCATTCATCACTCACAATGAGAGGCCAAAAGAAGAAAGTCAGTCTCTTGTTGAGTTTGAGCAGGTAGAGCAAAAGAAGAAGCAAAGTGATCATAAACTCCAACAATGTGGCCGCAGTGTACTTTGGTATGGATGCTGCAGTGAAGCACACAAATGCCACAAGCAGGGTCCCCTAAAACAGAAGAAGAAATGCAGAAAAATGGTTACAGCAGCAATAGAAAATACAAATTCTAAAATCTTGAATATGAACAGAACTGAATTGTGTTGTGACCTTTCTTTACCAAACCTGCAGCACTCACTCACTCACGGAACATGGTGCACATTTCAGTTAATGTAGCAAATGAGGTTATTTTGAGAAAGAGGAACTGACTTCACGAATCTTTCCATGTCACATTTTTCAGGCAAACTGAGCTGCTGCTTTCGCCTCTAAAATGTCTTTAATGTGGATCCCTGCTATCAACAAACTGGTTCTGGTAACCCTGTTGACTAAACCAAACTTGTGACTCCCTCATGTTTCTGTTCCTCTCTTCAGTGTTTACTGGACATTTCAGCCCATCTCAGTTGTTTCAGAGCACATCTGCAGCAAAATGCCAAATGTTCAAAGTTAAGATGATATGCAAAATATCTCACCATCTCTGCTAATTTCAAAATACCCCTTCTGGATTTGAGAAAAGCAGTGTCCAAATCCACGGCTCTTGTTTGATTCTCATGATTCTCTGACATGTTCGTGCGATTTTGTTTGCATAGGACAGCTCGCTGGGTCTGTTTCCTGAAACATGCAATTTCCTTTGAGCTGTATCGGAAATGACTGTTAGTAAGAATATGTGCAACATTTTCACACCAGTAGCTATTTTGCAGCTACATTTTAAAAAGACATGCATAAAAAAAGTGCTCTAACTCCTACTGAAAAAAAAACATACTCAGAGTTATAATCTTTTTTCTGCAAAACATCTGAGGCAGACATAACGCTTGCTATTCTATCGCACCAAGATAAGTAAATAAAGCAGAGAAATGTCACTAAATCTTGTAAATGAACAATTTTTGGAGATTTTAATATTTACTGTTAATTTCATAGTGAAATTGCATCGGGTAGTTTTAGCCACAAGCACAAAACTACAATAAATTTATGATTTTAAATAAATTTGTTGATTAAATAAATGTTTTCATTAGAACACATAGTTCTGCTGTCATATTATGAGCTTTACTTACAACACTGACCAAAGACATCTTACAACATTACAAAAGTCTATTTTATTTATTTTTTTAATCATATTTTTTGCAGTGCAATTGCATCATTAGGTCTAAAATATACACCATGAATCCCATAATGCAACTTTGCATAATTAATTTCAGGCCCATTTAGAATACATTCATTTCCCTTTCTGCTCTACACCCATAAAATGAGCCTTGACTCAACACTGATTCTTGACATAGGATTGTTTAATAGCAGGTAGAACTTGTACTGACATATTAAAACTCACAGCTGCTTAATGTTGTTATACCAACATCATTCCCTTGGTTTGATCCTGAGTCATTGTCTAAACATTGTGTGTAAAGAATTTAACAAAAATGTTTAAAATCCATCTGTATAAATAACAAGGTTATTTGTAGTTCTCGTAAGGCACAACTTCAGGTTTTGCTTCCTCATCTTGGGTCGTCTGGCTCAGTGCTTTGGCTCTCAGTGTGGCCAATCACACTTCCAGGGTGCAGACTTGGGTCCTTTCAGACACTTGCCTAACTTCTCACAGCCTGCCGGGGCCCAGTTCTGTAAAACAGAGTTATCACTGCAGTAAGTATAAGAATATAAAGTTATCAAAGACAATACTTATTTACAGGAAGATGTATGACTATTTCGTAAGAGTTTAGCTGTTTGTCGGTAGGGGGGAAAGCACCACATTATGTCCCTGTCTGATGCCATAATTACTATTAAGTGTACACAGTGTCCTGTCCTGTGTTGTTCATATTATTTATGTCTCATACTTACCCAAATGTTGTGCTTTAACTTAGCATTAATCTGTATCCTGTGTCATTAAACCTCATCATGTGTAAGATTTATAACCAAAAAAGGTTTATTACATGTCAATAATAATTCAGAGGTGCATGTTTGAGATTACTTTTTTAAACACATAAATGGTGTTATGTAATTTTAAAGCTTTATGCATTACTATTTCACATAATTGTCTCATTTTTATCAGAATTTTCTTAATAAAATAATCAGTTCGTCATTGAGTGGTGATATCACAGACTAGGTTGCACAGTCTGCACGTTTTCAGTACGAACGTAAGCCAGGAAAACATCTTAAAAACACCCAATAATAAACTTTTGGCTTTGAAAGTCAGCTTGCTCAAGATTCAAAAAATGTAAAGATCTATATTACCTTGATTCAAAACAACATTAAATTACAGTGTGATTGATTATCACTCCACTTAAGAGTGTATTTATTCTGTTGACCACAGGGGGGCAGTGCTGCTACACAAATAAACAAAAAGTGTTGTTCAGAGGCTTTGGAGACAAAGCCACACCTCACTTCAGCTGCTTTAAATGATCCTAAAACAGATTTATTCACAGAAACACTGGCATGCTATCAGGGCAAAATGTTGGTGATGACTCCATCAAATATGATACATACATAAACAAGTTAGTAAACAAATAATAAAAGCAAAATCTGGAAAGAGGAAAACTAATTCGCTTCTCTATACACACATGGACCAAATTGTTGGTACCTCTCGGTTAATAAAAGAAAAAACCCACAATGGTCACAGAAATAACTTGAATCTGACAAAAGTAATAATAAATAAAAAATCTATGAAAATTAACCAATGAAAATCAGACATTGCTTTTGAACCATGGTTAAACAGAATTGTTTTAAAAAATAAACTCATGAAAACAGGCCTAGACAAAAATTATGGTATCCCTAGAAAAGACTGAAAATAATGTGACCATAGGGACATGTTCAGTCAGACATTGCTTTTGAACCAAGGTTCAAAAGCAATGTCTGATTTTCATTGGTTAATTTTCATAGAACTTTTATTTATTATTGCTTTTGTCAGACTCAAGTTATTTCTGTGACCATTGTGGGTTTTTCTTTCATTAACTGAGGGATACCAACAATTTTGTCCATGTATATATATATATAGATATATTCAGAGGCCTTTAATGGTTTATTTCTATCGGTGTATCTTATGTATTCATTTATCTGACATACGAATGTGATTGGCAGAACACAGAGATAAGCCACAAACCTGACTTATTTACATTTGTCATATTGCACAGAGGTATATAGTATCTTCTGTGAAAACTGCATCTGGTTTTGGGCCACTACATCTACACATATTGGAGCTAAGTCGACTTGCATATCACAATTGACTACTTTGACAATAATATGAATAAGACTGAACATGAAAATGAAAGATATTTATGTTGTGCGAATCTCACCATCACTGCCAGGTCACACATATTGAGCTGGGGCATACCCGGCACCAGAGTCTTCTTATGCTGCTCCACGACTGGAGAGATCATGCTCAGAACATGCTGGTACTCCTTAGTCAAAACACTGCAAACACAAGGAACACACATGGTCAGAGGGGTATTAACTGCTGATTATTTTTTGATTTACTGATTCACATCTTAGTCTATAAAAACACCACCACCAACAACAAAAGTAATTATGTGGAAAAAAAACACATCCAACACATTTTCCTAGAACCGCATCTTTAGATGTCTTGTTTAAAGTCCAAAACTTAAAGATTTTTACTTTATAAGGACACAAAGAAGACCAAAAAGGGCAACAAATCCTCATATTTAAAACAGCTGCTCAATATAAGCAATTCTGTTGATCACCAAACTGATGTTACAAATGTGCAATTGGAATTTAAAGCATTTAATAATGAGCTTTAAATGGAACATAATACACATGTATATACACACACTCTAACGCTTACACTTCTGGACCCATTTTAATACATACAGGCAAAGCAAGGTTGCTTTATCATTTATCTGTTTGGGCCTTGTGTCTGTTAAGCTGTTTTACCACAACTATAAAAACCTAATGCACACACTGATGAACACAATTCACAGTCTTTGCCTTTTGTTGTCAAGGAGTGTTGCAGTCAATGCCTTTCCTGTGTCTAGTGATAAAACACTACTGTGGCCTTCGGAGCTTAACTCATTATATCAGTGTGGGGACATGCTGTATCTTTCAAGAACAAAAACAGAAATATAAACGGATGAACACACACACACGCTGTCCACTCAGGCACCCTTTAGGAAAGCACACTCAGCAGGGTGAACTATGCAACCCCTATCACATCCCCTGTCTCTCAATTACTGCTGTTGGACACCAGTGAGCCCGAGCACCTCTGTGCATTATTATATTCAGAGTGTAAAACACAGGGGCCCTGAAGGCTTTCAAAGGAACGCTGCTCTCAATAGGACCTGTAGGGTTAATGGGCTGTGTGTGTGTGTGTGTGTGTGTGTGTGTGTGTGTGTGTGTGTGTGTTAGGGGACTGAGCGTCTGGTGGCGTGACACAAAGATAGACAAATATCAGCAGTGCAATTACACCCCTGATACACTCGCCGGCAGCACCTGTGCCTGCCTTCCATCCTCCCTCCACTACAAACTCTACCCTCTGATTGGCCCCTGGGGAACATGTGCATGTGTGTGAGGTGAAGTGTCAATTAGAGTAATAACCCCGGGCCCTGTCCAGCTCACACCTACCCTCCCTCTTAGATCTCCCACAGGGAAGCAAGGCTTCCTCCATCAGCCAGCACCTGCTCCTTTCCTTGATACTCAGTCTTTACTTTCCCCTGCAATTACTTGACTGGTAGTGTGCTGACTGCAATTAGTCTCTCTCCTCCTGTGACACATTTGTCATAAGCTAACTATCTACGCATTCTGACCCTAACTGATAGGGGAAAATCCGCTTTACTCCCATTGGTTAAAATTCAGACATTCAGATTAAATTGCTTCGGCTATCTGAAATCGCAAATTTTACTTTTGCCTGATCGCGATCAGCAAGAGGGATATTTCCTTCCCCTCCTATCTGTGCCCGCTACTGATTGTTGCGATTCATTTTGTGATAAGTGATGAAGCAGTCTAATAGAAGTAAATGTAAGGGAAATTTATCAGGCTGCTATAAGTATTCAATTTTCTCCATACGAGTGGGCAAGCAAAGCATGCCATGTATCGAGAAAGTTGTGCGAGACACCAAAGTTTTCTGTTGTTTTGTCTATACACTGAAAATCTCACGATGCAGACCTCTAAATCAAAAACTAATAATATCATTTGTTTATGCCCCCTCTGCAAACAAATAATGAAAAGCCCACAGTCAGCACAGCTCATTATCATGATTATAACCCTTAGCTTACTAGTGTAGAGGCAAAATCTGGAATAATAAGCAGGCTGTATGCAAATGGAGTCTTTTGATTTATAATGTATGGCACCCAAGGGGGATGGGGGCATTGCTCAGGTGTGTCACCACTCTGATTACTGATTCATAACACTATTGCTGGAACACACACACACACACACACACAGAAAGTAGCAGAAGGTGGGGGAATTGAGGAGACAATCAAATACATCTGTCCTGCCTACCCCTCCCTCCCACCATCTTCTCCACCCCAGTGGAAATTGAGCACTTCAGTGAGGACTATTGATTGGGGACACAAGAGCTTGGTGGCAGGCAGCAGATGAGGCCAGACTGTGCAGGGCTGCCTGCAGTGTTGGGGCTGGGACTACACTATGGATGACGATGGGCTCTGGTGATGAGAAAGTAGGATGTGTTAATCTTGGGGCATTAAGGTCACAGAAATCAGGAGGGGCGAAGTGGAAGGCAGGGAATGGCTTTGCACAAGTCTGAACCTCGCAGAGATGACAGACCTGGTTTGGGTCTGTTTCACGTTGGACAGATGGACCACCAACACAAGCCTCATCGCTATTTAGCTACGCCGTCCCAACAAATGCAGCGAGGCCTCTGTTTGCGGAAAAACTAAAACAAATATCACCAAAATTCCACCCCAAGTTGAATAATTATATTATACACTGCTTTCCGAGGTAACTGTGCAAGACTGGGGATTTTGTATGTGTGTGCTCTTTGCTATATCACAGCCTGCGACAGTAGTGAAGGTATGTGTGCAGACAGGCCCTACATCACCGTAAGTGGCTCTTTAGGTGCCGACAGAGATTAATGCTGGCCAGGCAGCCAGTCCAGCTGGGGGACCTAAGAGCACATGGACAAAACACACAAATTCACACACACACATGCATTTCACTAGGATGGAGAACGGTCCCAGTGGATGCAGAGGGACAGCAGCTGAAGTGGTGAGAAGTGAGCTGAGATGCGTAACAGTAAGTGGCGAGAGAAGGTAGGGGAATGTAAGACAAAACTTTGGAGGAGAGGTGGAATTAATAGCGCTAGATTAAAATGGAATTGAAGAGTGGCGCATGAAAGGTGCAGAGAGGTCATGCAGCTGGATATAGAGGCTGACCTCAGAGATGAGCACACTGACCTCTCTCTGCAGAAGTAAAAACTAAGTATGCAGTTTGGTTTGCGTGTGCGCATCTTGCACTTAGTACAACACATGGTTGCATATTTCTTGGTTTTTCCTTTTTTTTAATTTATTTTTTATTTTTTCCAAGTGAAGAGTAAGGCTAAAAGGTGGGCAAATGAAAAACAACATTAATGTTTTATCATCCAATCTCGGCTCAAGAACTGAAAGGAGTTTGAGTACGAAGCAAAGGAGGAGATGAGGCAGGAGGAAAATATGAGAGGCAGAGCTTACGGAAGAAGGAAATGAAAAGGTCAGTCGAGGAGGTTTTTACACGAGGAGGGAGCGAAAGTGCACAAAAAGAATATTCTCATCGAAGCATTCTGAGATTAGCTTAATGTATTTGTCATGGTGTCAGGTTGTATCATCTTTTTTTTTCCCTGAAAGATTATGTTTATTATTTGCATTGACAGTACACAGTAGAAGATGATGCTCATCTTTGCACCCTTGTTTAGTAATAGCTTTAGTTCAACCTTGGCTGTTTGTGTCCTCTGGTGTCACTCTCTTCTCAGTAATTCTTAACTCTCCTTGGGCCTCAGGCACAGACACACAAAACTCCATTAAACACCACTCGCTCTAAATTTAGACCTGAACAATTTATCTTGCAATTTTAACCTGCAGCAGTGCACCATAGTGTTGAGGGTCAGATAGTGATCTTTAAGGAGCTGTTTGCAATCACAAAGAGAAGGGTGTAATCAAGCGCGCTCCGGCTGAGTGGATCAATCCACCGCCTTCGTTTTCGTGCCACTGAATCTGCATCGATCTCACAATCTGTACTACAGGCTTCCTTTTCTCTTCTTTTTCTAACATTTCTCCTCTTGTTCCTGGGTAATTTCCCTCTCCTCGTTGTCCCAAGTAGATCTGAAGTTTTCAGGCAACTGACCTGATTGGGAACTTTTCTCCAGGATCCCGCCCCAGGTGGAAAATGATTGGCTGCTGTGTGTGCTCCTTCTGTTCATGGGTGGTCACACCAGGTACCTCTTGACCTGGACAAAAGTCTATACCCTGCAAACGAAGACACACAAAACAATTTCTCTTAATGACATATGTTCCTTAAGCATACATCTAATCTACTGCCCAGTTAGGGAATTTCCTCCTAGTCACATCTTGGTTACGAGGTCAGGACTTTGTCCCATTTGGACAATGCAGTGTAAAATCACTGCATATTCACAATAACAGTAAGTTAAATGATTATTGACTCGGTCGGTTTTGAAAACAGCATGTATAAATGAATTGAAAAAGTGGGAAATAACAAAAAAGACAGAAATCAATCAACTCTGGAGACCAGAGAGACTGTTTTTTTCTTCTCTTCACATTTCTGAATTATCTGATGTCATTTTACATTCCTGCTGCAGCGTCTCTTCTTAAAAACACAGATCACTGTTCAGCCAAAAAACTGTGGCAGTTCCATTCTCTGCCTTCTGTATGTACTCTCCTATAAAGGTAATCCACAACAGGAAAGAGCACAACTGCCCTGTTTTGGCGACAAAACTTTCAGAAATTAAATATGAAGGTCAGGCTTTCTGTACAGAGCTACCTAACACAATAACTGAGGTCAGGTCCACAGGTAAAGGAAAACGCATATCTGCCTCTGCCTGTTTAAGCACGACATAAGAATTAAATTTTTAAAAAAAATAAAAAATCTGAATCTTCCCATTTTTGAGATGAAGCATGTACAGTTTTGCCATTTTTAGTGGTCTATATTTAATTCTTTTAAATGTTTTAGCTGAAATACATGTAAACAAAGATGTTTCTGGGCGTTTTATCATGTCCCGTTTAAAAAAAAAAAAAAAAAAAAAAAAACTGCACAGAACTCTGCTGTAGGGATCTGAGTGTTTAGATTTAGGCTTCCAGCCACCTGCTACCCTGAGCTCAATGCCTAATCTCATTGTTGTATGGTCTATATGCATATTGTCTTCCAATCTGTTGTGTTATTTATGCAGCTACTGTTGGTGCATCATGACGGGTTTCAAGTCACTTGCAAAACTAAGGACTTTTGCTGCCTCCTCTTCATCTCTCCACGCCTTAGCTCCTGCTCCCTGACTCGATTGTCAGAGGGCTGGCAGCGATCGCAGCCTGATTGAGTCACACTCAATCCTCCAGAGCCCCCTGGAGATCTGCCCCCTTCTTCAACACACACACACGCACACATTTTTTTGATGAGCACAACTAATATTGAAAAAGCATTCATCTGTAAGGCACTATTGCTGCCCCCCTCTGAGAACCTCAAAATACATATAGAGGAGAGAGAGAGAGAGAGAGAGAGAGAGAGAGAGAGAGAGAGAGTGAGGACAGATACTTCCAACCGTGCAGAGCTTCCACTGATCCAGACTTGTCCTGTCTTTTGAAGCCAACAGCTTAGAAATGCAGAAAAGAATGAAAAAAAAAAAAAACCTCATCCCAGGGGAGCAGCAAGAAAGACCTGCTGTGTCTATCTCTCTGACTCTATCTCTTGTACCAGAGATATTACAGCGAGAGCTGCATATCTCACATAACATTAATGCTATAGATACAACAAGCCTGCTTTCAAACTGGAGCAGTACAGTCGTTATTTTAAGATAAGGTGCAGGAGCATCCAGGGGTGGCAGGATGGATTTTAGAAAAGGCAGGATTTGGCTATTTTGGAAAAGAAAAAAAAAATCAATGGTTTGGAAGGATCCTTTTATGTATCCTATATCTACATTTTAAGATTTAAATGTAGTCCCTTTTTAATGGATAGGATATGGTGATATTTGACAACCAGGTAAATTATATTTGAAAAAAAAAAAAAAGATTCAATATCACAACATGCATTTTAAAAATAATATATAGATTAGAGTTGCATAACTTTTTTTTTTTTTTATCTCCTCCATCCCAGTTAATCATCTCACAACCCCTTTGATTCATCTTGCAACAACTTTGTTTAGAAACCACTCTATAAACCCCTCCATAAACCACTTTATAAAGTTATACAGTCACAAATTCTGATGGCAGCACCTTAAAGTCAAACTCGCAACCTTCAGGAAAAGTAAATCCAACCCGGAAATGCAATAAACTACAATTCCTCCTCAAACCGGCCACTTGAAGCTGGTTCCAAAAGAGTCACTCAATCAACAAAAGAATCAGCCAAAACAATCCATGGTGAGCTCACAGAAATGTTCTTTTTTCAGCAGAAAATATTAAAAACCACAACATCAATTCAACAACATCAACATCCAAGCGAAGTAACAACAACTAAAACACATGTCTGATGCGAGTAGGAATTTTAAGTACACTTTGGTGATAATATCTTCCATGGCTACATTGTTGTATTGGTAATTTTGCTCAAAGAAAATCTTCCATAAAGACGGTCTATTTGCTAAAGGCTAACTGGCCCTAGAAGATCTTTATTACACGGCATACTGCTAGTGGGAAGACATATTGCCATAAAGTCACTGAACTAGGTGTCTTTAGCAAAAATGAGTGTTAACATCATAAGTTCCTGTTTAATCGGAGAGTGCAGCACAGCAGCTATGGCTCAGTCTATTTCTTGTCGATTTCTGCAACAGATTTAGTGCCAAGAAATAAGCATCCAAGGTGAGACTAACAGGTGTCTCGTTAACACGTTCTTTTTCAGTTTTCATTCATCACACGGTGAAGTATTCAACAAGGTTAAAAAAAAGCTATCACTGATGTCACAGGGCTCCTTCTGTAGCATAGGTTATTCAGCAAGTCAGATACAAAGGAGCACACAGTCACGACAAACTATATTTCACAATATTAACATCACTACACTGCCTCCAGAGAGTTTGATGAGAGTCATTTAAGCCTGTGAAATTTCTCATTTTCCTCTTGGCTGAGCTGCATGAACACAGCCAGGACAGAGCAATACGTCTCCCAGCTATTAACCTGTAATTTCATTCTTCTTCACAGACACTCATCTTCTCTTGTTTATTTTTCACCAAGGGCCAAGAAAGACAAAATTTGTGTTTCAGTGTATTACCAATACAGAGGACAACGCAAGAAAACATGAGCATTATTTCAGTGACGAGGGGATTTCATCATGTGTTTCTTTTCTAGGTTAAATGATTCTTTATTCTATATGGGTTTTTAAGGAGGGCAACATGATTTTATGAGTATGAATAATCATTAATTCAATTAATTAAACTATGAACCTTGAAATATGTTTTGATCCTAAAGCAAATTTACAAGACATATGATTCAAAATCTGACTGTGAGTGCATAAATAGTTTGCTTATTGTTTTGTGTTTATGAAATATATTGTGAGTTACACAAGAAAAACAGGGATTCAATAACACAAAGAATATTTGGGGCCTTAACTTTTCCCTTCATAAGATCTCTACAGTCACTCAATGAAACACACATAAGCAGACATGCACATCTGTATGGAGAACCAAACTTGTATGTGCATGTTTTCTCTCATCCTTTCTCCCATGTACACACACACACCAATCGATAGGCAACTCACAGGCAATCAGACGCCATTATTTGTGAAGTTCCACTTCAGTTCACATGAGTTGATAAAGGAGGCTACTATTGATTCAGCGGCCCTGAAGGAGAGATCAATTTAAGCGACTGATGGGGCATAAAACAAACTGGATCACAGGAAAAGTATGTAGGGAGGACAGGAGGACATGTTTTTATGGACGGAGGAGAGAAAGAGCAAGGAAAAAAGCCCCATACTTTCAAGCTTCTCAGTTGTCAGATTTCACATTTCTTCTCATATATTTAATCCACACTGAGTTGATGTAATTACGGCCGAGCTCTATGATGCCAAAAGAACAAGCAGGGGATGACGATATGTAAATGGAGGGGAAAATTTCCACTGGAGTTTGAACAAACAAGTCAACTGGTTGATGAATGATGCAAGTTCGCTGATGTGGGGGCTCTTCATTAATATTCATTACACTCTGATGTACACAGCAGTCAACTGATGAGCCATTTTCAAGATAACACCAACAACAGCCAAAGTGTGTGAGTGAGTGTGCGGGTACGATTAGGGGAGACAATGGGGGGAGGATGTGACAGTGCGAATCAAAAACTGAGGAAAAACAGGGATGGGACAGGGTTAAAGGGTTAAAAGGCAGCCTTACATTTTGTAACTCCTCCCATGAGTTGCTCCAGGTCCAGTAGTGGGCCTTGTACTGTCCAAGCCTCACAGCCATCAGCTCATTGCCTCGGTAATAGAATATTGGCCTGTTGGAGGTGAGAAGAGGAAGAAGTAACACTCTCAGGTAAGTTTACAACACACTAAACACTTAAAATGCCTACATTTAAATTCCAGTCTCACTCCATCCATTCTTGCCTTTTTTTTTTATTCATTCAGTAAAGGAACTTGAACTTTTGAACTCCTCAAAATTGACAAATCATTGGACACATTTAATTCTTTTTATTTACTTAAAATATGATAAGTCACTGAATACAGCTGAAGTTGGTGTGAATTGGTGTGGATGTCATTATTTTTGCAGGGATTTGGTCATAAATCAAAGAATATGACAAAACATAAATCTGAACTTGATAAAGATGATCCTCATGGAGATGTCAAAACCACAAATACCAAAAATGAAAAATTACAAACACCACAGATCTCTGGCTAACTGGTGCACGCTTACCTGTTTTGGAGCTCATAGGAGCCATTGAGTAACACTGGTGTCAAGTCCAATCCGTCCAGGGTTCGATCAACAGGAGGGCTGATGCCAGCCAGAGCCAGACTGGTGGTGAATAGGTCCATGACATTGGCCAGTTGGAAATTCACCTGCACAAAGGTGAGGAAATTAAGAAAACACATCCAATTGTAAAAGCAGCCATTGCACACATTCTGTGAGTTAGTGTTAAAAAAAAAAACAAAAAACGGACATTTGAAGAGATGAACACCAATCACAGTCTCCCCACCTTACAAAAGTATCCTCACTCTCAAAGACCACACACTTCTTTCACTACTTATAATAAGTCTCTTGTTCATCTATACCACAGATTCTTAAATGTACAACTTGATGACTTAACTCCTTATAAACAAGACTGAACTACGGTAACATGGTATCGACACATGGCCACGACAGGATGTTTGCGTGTACACAAGCAGGAGAAGAGATGCTTGTCTTCAGTCTCCTCTCTAATCTCTGCATGCAGGTTCATAATTAAAACTCCAAAATGTCTCACTTTCTAATTGAGTTGTTTTTTTGGAAGGGGGGAGGAAAAGGAAAAAGGAAGAGCGGACAAAAAAAAAAAAGAGGAGAGGAAGCAGGGAGAGGACAAGGCCCGGGCAAGCAGGCGGCTAAAGCTGGAGCGAGCTGGTATTTTATCTCCTTCTCCCAGTCCCAGTGAAAAGCTTTATTTTATTTATAAACTTTGAACTATTTTCAGATAAAATGCCATTTTTTCGCTGTCATCCTTGATCTTCCGTTCCATTCTCTCCTGAGCGAGCCTTAGAGGGAGACGGCATGCTCACAATCAGATAGCGCTATCAGGCCTCTGCAGCTGCACCGCCATGTGCCGCTGTGCTCCTATTGGCCCAGCACACATACAGACACACACACAAGCTCCTAAGCAGTGAAATGAATTCCCTTTTCTTCTGTATCCACAGAACTAGCCACAGAAAAGGCTCTGCAATGCATTCCATGATCTATCTGCACATCCAGACACTCTTTCTCTCTCACAAACACTAACAGATTTAGTCCTTTACTTCATTTTTCATTTTTTTCTTTTTTTTTGTTCAGTCCCACCCTAACACAGACACACATTGACCATTAAAGAAGACAGGACAAAAAGATAGACAAGAAGCAACACTGACATTTAGTTGGTAATAACTTGCATGACCAAAAACCAAAAGTTTAAAACTCAGACTGATAGAATTGACGAAATTATGGTGGAGTTGCCATCTTTTTGTTTCTCCCCTGATTAGCTCTGCCCTCTTTTGCAGTCTATACGAAACTTTTTTCCTTTAATCACCCTTTGTTCATGCCTTTTCTCGTCTGAGTCATCACTCTCTATTAATGTCACATTCTCTTTCCCTCTCTTTCTCTCATTTCTGTCCGTGTTGTGAGCACTGGTGCTGTTGGTAATCTGAGGAGGCAATGTTTCTATCCCTGTCTCTGCCACTCTGCCCGTGTGTCTGCTGCCTGATAACCCAACAAAAGGGATTGTAACGCTCAACAATGTTGTGGGCTTGACAGCCCACCCACCTCCCCATTTTTGTTCCTACAGCCACAACCCCTCATCATCCCGTCCACTCGCCCCCCTCAGGCACTGGGAGAATGCTGAATCTGCATCTGCTTCAGACGAGCTGTGCTCCTTAATTCCAGTACATCACCTTCCATCCTGCTAAATATGACTTAATGACTAATCAGCAACAATTCCCCGAACACTCACACAAGTCAGTGAAATCACTATGATTCATCGTCCATATGCATCCACAAATAAAGGCCGTTTTTTCTCTTTAAGACATGGAAATACACATTGAAGTGGCCTTTCTATCCCCATTTCCACACCCCGTCCCTCAAAGCTTGTCTTCACATCCTAACTCTGTAAAGATCCTTTCCTGACTGTTAGTTGTCTCCAGCATTTTGCTGAAAGAGCTTGTAGACTTTATAATGCACAGATCAACAGATGTTTCAGAAAACTACAAAATAAGGGAGGGGGCAACGCTTTGTCTGGTTTGTCCTCCCTCCAAAGCAACACAAAGTGATGAATCCAGACCTGTAGAGTACAGTGGTCCCAAAACAACCAGCTTTATCATCATATGCTCAGACAGCTTCAACCAGAATCTTTAGACCTTTATTCTCAAAGGGTCTGTAATTATGGAAGTACACACGTAAGTGTTTTGTATTGGTAGTAATAAAATCAACATCTCTTTCTCTCAATTCTCTGAAAATTATCTCTCACACAAAGTCGTGGATATATTGTATATGTAGGCATGTGGGTTCAAACAAAAATTACACAGACTTGGGAATGCACAGACCAACGTACTGGTCAATTATAACATGGCACAGGTGCCGCAAAGACCGACGAGCACAACAACATTCCTGGCAGTACCTGCGTCTTTAGCACTGTTCTTCCTTTTCTCTTTTCTACACCAGTCACTTCTTCTACGTTTTCCTTGCTTCGTTCCCTGCAACCCCCCTCCACCATCCTCCCGTTCCTTTATCCTGAGCGCCTGGCATATTCAGATACTGAAGTCCTCATTACGGCTCAATCCAACCTCAGCAAACACACAAACAGATTAGCCGCTTAAGACGCTCCCAATCCCCCTCTCCCTCGCTACTCTGCTGTGCTATCAGGCCCCAGCACAACCCTGTGAGATGAGCCAGGGGCAAGGCTTACTGCAGACTGCAGCCTCCGCTTGCTCCTCCACAAAATCCCTCTGCGTCACAGCCCCGTGTCACAGCTGCCCCTAATACAATTAAAAGTCATTTGCAGAACGCACAGGCTTAGGGGATCACGATGTGGGTGGGGGGTTAAATTGGGAAATGGGAGTGAAAAAAAAAGGAGAAAAAAAAAAGACAGAGTTGGGGAATTAATTCCAGCCAAAAATATTTGAGGAAACAGTGGAAAAAGCGCCCACATGCTTTGTGGCCAAAATCACACAGTTTGTCTTTACTGTTTCTTGAGTTCAGTCACTCGTTAGAAGCTGAACATAGTTGAGATTAATTGGTAACTGTGCCAGTGGATCAGAGTGTGCACATGTAAAGTGGTAAATGATACAGAAATTAAACAAAAAGCAACAATCATTTGAAAGGCAGGATTAGTGAAATAATTATTCCTTTCCTCTCAACCTGATTCACAATGCTGTACACTGCCTGCAGCTTTTCAGAAAACATTTCAGCTCCTGGTACAATTTGACGGCCAGAACATCGGGGAGCAACAAAGCATAGAAAAAAACAGACATTCTCTGGATTCTTGGTCTAAGACTAGTCTAGTGTCTAGAGAACATGTCAGGGATTTAGTGAATGATCATCTTGGATTTTTTTTTGGAGGCTTTATTTAGTAAAAGCTTTGAATGCCTGAGGTGTTCTTACTGTGCCTTCTTTGATGTGTCCTGGCCACCAGGCGATGGCAGGCTCCCTCATGCCCCCCTCAAAAGTGGTCTCCTTCCCACAGAGGAATGGCCCATTGCTGCCACCTGAGGAATCAGACCCACAAGAACCCGTTTATCCACGTATCACAACATAGCCACATAAAAGACAGAAAAAATGCATTAATTCAGTTTCACACACACAAAAAAATGTGAGAGTGCATTATGAATTTAGTGTTTACCTTCCTTTGGACCAGACATAAGAGCAGCTCCGTTGTCCGAGGTGAAGAAGACAAAGGTATTATTCTCAATGCCCAGACTCCGCAACCATGACAAGATCTGACCGACGCTGTAGTCCAGCTCCATCACTGCATCCCCGTAACTACAAAGTAAAGGCAGTAACATTTGCCACATGGCTCACACTGAGAAATATAACTTTATGTACGTGTTGTTCTGTGCGCTAACAAAAGCGTAAGGTAGTATATAATGTACCGGCCTCGCTGGCTCTTCCCTAAGAAGCGTTTGGAGGCATAGACAGGAGCGTGAGTGGCATCTGGAGCCCAGTAGAGGAAGAAGGGCCGCAAGGCCTTCGTCTGACGAAGTATGAAGTCAAGACCTTCCTGTAGAGGTGGGAGGTGGGAGAAACTGTTACTACATGTTCAGTGCAGATGTCAAAAGACTTGCCGTAGCTTCGTTCACAATACTGTGGCCAAGATGTATAAAGGGAACAGTCTCTTTCCAACTCGTACACAAAACACTTATCTGAACCATGTTTTGAGTCTGGAGTTTTGAAACACCTGCCTAAAACTAAAGCAATCCATGCTAAAAATAAATCCTGCTTTCATGGAAGTTGGTCATGTTTAAATGTCCAATTTTTTGTTCGAACTGTTTTAGAGAGATGTTGATTCAGCTCAACATCATTCTGAGGTGTGTAGTTTGTGTTTCTGTTGAGCAATATTGTGATTCTAACTGGATTTTCCAGCATTTGTCCATTCTATTCATATTGATAAACACTAAATACAATGAAACACATTGTAACCTTTATGAAGTTAGGATTCATTTCAAAGCTGTGGTATAACAATAAATTGGTTTTAGCTATTAATAGCTAAAATGTGTGTGCACCTAACACCTAATTCATACTGATACTTAGAAAAAAAACCATATAGCAGTTATGTGTCAGTTTGTTGAATTTTAACATGGAGGCAGTATTTTTAAGCTCTAACACCTCACAGTTAGTACAACAGTGTATTACTTCTGCATATTGACATTTTTTACTTTGCTCGCTTTTACATTTCTGGTGGATAACTACCAAAGTAGTATTTTAAAGTTGAGCTTTTGTTTAATATTCCAGACAAAATGTGAATTCTATCTAGTCTGCTACTAGTAGAAGATTTAAAAAGCTGTGCTTGAGCAGCCAACACTCTGCTTGCGATGACATATTACACCTTTCAAGCGTGCACTTTGTTTCTGCACAATGCTGTTGATAATCAGCGCCAGTGTGTGGAAAAGTCAATAATCTCAATAATCCACTTCACCCAATGGCGTTCAAAGGCCAGATGTTAATTGCATTTTTAATTTGTTATAGATGATTTATGTTTTTGCGCTTTCATGTTTTGGTGAGCCAAAGACGATTTTTCCACTCTGGCTGGCACTATCATTGTATTCTATTCTATTAAATACAGTACCAAAGAATCAGGTTAATTAAATGTTGTGTAAATACTACAGTCTGCTCTACTGAAACAGCTAAAACACAGACAACTTTAGAAACAAGAGATGAGCCTGAACTTACCATCAAGTAGATCTGTGTGAGGTTTGACTCTCCGGTCTTTCTGTTAATCTTAAATTCCTCATAGTATCTGGAAAACAAGTGGGTTGACACAATTCGTTGATAACTCCTTCACTGTAAGTTAGCCATCATCCTATCTGAATAATTGCTGAAGCCATGCTAAGCTGTTTTCTCCTGTTTATTCAACTGCATAAAATGATTGTTTCACAGTTTGACTGTATCATCAGAGCTCTCAATCTGCCTCTAAATTGACTGAAATTACTGCAGACAATATCATTAAAACAATGGAGGTAAATTTCCCTCTTGTTGACTGTGTTTGCAGGAATTTTGGTGAAAGACATATTCGAGAAGCGGAGCTGAGCAGAGGGAACTGTTATGAGGTGCTGCTGAAGCGTGGCGCAGTGAGCAGAGAAGCAGTGACAGGCATCTCTTTCTTATGCTTCACTTCCTCCAGGTGTCCTTGCACACAGCCAGTGCAACCTGCCGTCTCTTGAGGGCGTGTGTGTCTCTGTGTATATGTGCCTGTGTGTGCGCGTACGTCTGTCCAGGGCCCAGGTATGCAGTGCTGATTAAACCCACAGCTAAGCGAAAAACACGCCCGGCTGCCAGTTCCAATGACCCTGAATACACATATGGCTGTTTTGGGGAAAACAAATGGGCGGAAAATGGAATACACAAACACAGCTGGTACAAAGAAGGAAGAAGGGAGGAGGGAGACGCTCAACTCATCCAGAGGCGCAGACAGCCAAACTATTCCACCGAGTCACGGGGAAAGGAGATTTTTATAGATTTTCAGTCTCTGTTTCTGTGTGCTGCTATGTGTATCTGAGTGCTTGTGTGTGAAACTACCTGCCAAGCATCTCAGAGTTGTTGTAGACAGGGATGTTGGGTCTGATGCTGCTGTTATAGGGGCCAAAGTGGCAGTTTGGTGCACCAAACCATTCATCAAAACCGTTCTTCAGAGGAAGGTATTTTGGTCTGTGGCCCAGATGCCTGCAGTGACAAATAAAGTGCACTTACACGCCGCAAAATCAATGTGACTGAAGGATCATCCCAAATGTTTTTGCAAGTTTGAATTTAGACGATTACTACAATTCACATACACCCGCCCTGATACACATACTTTTTCAAAGTACAACATACTGTATATGTTTAATCTTGCATAGGCTTTAAACTTTTGTAACATGTCACTGTGCGCGTCATGTCAGCTCTAATGTGTAACAAAGTTATGTGGTGATGTCAGGAAGATGCTTCCTCATCTATTCTAGCTGCAATATTGCACAGAAAAAACAAAAGGATGAAAGTAGTGTGTGACAAATAATCTATCTTTGACAAGCTTCACTTTGCATAAAAATTCTCAAAAGACATTAAAAAGAATGCAAATAAACCAAATAAAAAAAGGAAAATGCACTCTGGAAATGATCACCAGTAATAATAAGTGTATGTGATAAGTATAAATTAAACTGACAATCTTATATTAAAGCCTATGAATTCTGTTTATTTTCACACTTTTACTTCTGTATATTTCCAATACGGTATTTGTACTTTCAGTTAGGTAACTGATTCGAAAACTCCTTCAACCACTGATCATAACCTCTAAAACTGTAGAAACATCTTTTAAAAACCTGGAGAAAGATAAAGAGCTCACCATTTTCCAACTATTTTGCTGACATAACCCTTTTCCTTCAGCATCTTGGGTAACAAAATCTCATCCTTGGAGATTCCTCCAACTATCTCCTGGGGCGTGTACGCTACAAAAAAAACAAAAACAAAAAAAAAAAATAAAAATTGAATGCAAAAAACTTTCAATGACTTTATCACATATTAAAGGCCAATAACTTGGGTCATTTTATCACAAATCATCAAATTATTAGCACAATCTCTGCTCAAACGTCTCTGAGCTGCTTGGTGTATTTGTAGCATAAAATAAGGATAAAGACACCCGGGCTCTTTCTGTGTGGAGTTTGCATGCACTCCCTGTGCAGCGTGGGTTCTCTCCAGGTTCTCCGGCTTCCTCCCACATTCCAAAAACATGTTGAGGTTACCTGGTGATTCTAAATTGTCTGTAGGTGTGAATGTGAGTGTGCTTGGTTGTCTGCCTCCAAGTGTGGCCCTGCGATAGACTGGTGACCTGTCCAGGGTGTCCCCTGCCTTCGCCTTGAGTCAGCTGGGATAGACTCCAGCCCCCTACGATGCTAGTGAGGATTAAGCGGTGTATAGATAATGAATGGATGGAAAATAACGATATTTAGAAAGATATTTGTGACATTTTAGCTTATTACATCAAATATTTTGTGAGATCAACATGTTTTTTTTACAATTCGAGGCTATATTTGAACAACAAAATCTCAGGAACTATTAAAGACAAAAGCCTGAAATTTTCAGTTATTTTCCATTATGCCAATAATTTGGAATCTGCAACATTGAACAAATAGATCAAATAATCCAATTTTCGAATTGGTCTTTGAAAAAGAAATAATAATGTAGAATTCATACAGTGATATTTTCTGAACCATATGTAGCTGCATGTCTCAATAATACAAAAAAAAAACACATGAAGGATACTTTTAATATGAAATGCTTGGGCATGACAATGAAAAGGAAGTATTTTCCGTTTAAATAGCATAACTTTTATTGAGGAGGTATGACAAACTGTAAGGCAAAAACTTGAGTTTGGGTAGCTATCCTAACCCAAGGATTGCAGAGTTCCAGTGTTTGAAAATCTCAGGCTTTTATCTTTAAGAGTCCCTGAGATATTGTCATCCAAAAGTAGTTTTAAATCTTGATGTGTGAAAAAATGTGCTGAAACTGGGTCGACAGACAATTTAAAAACATATACATCTGGAAAAGTACCTAATATATTATTCTAAAATTTCACAGATACCAAATTAAATATCCATTAGAGATAATCGAGCAGAAGACCTCTGATTATTTAGGATGGAAAAACCCAATAGGAAAACGGCAAGAAATGATTTGCAGTGACGTGATGTGCACATTAAGGATATTCGGGGAATATACCGTTTCTGGCGTGGGCACTAGTGGTGTAGAAGCCATTCCTGACAGGCAGCCTCCCAGTGAGAAGTGCAGCTCTGGCTGTTGGCAAAATGAAATGTCATTAGAGATGCAGCGTTGGTCTTCTTAACCACGGAAAACAAATACAGTGAAGTGTGTTCTAATCTTGCTCCCACACCATCACATACATTGACAGTTACAAATGATCCGCTGTGCAACTCATAGAATATTTAAATAAGCAAATTTAGCGTACAAGAAACTATGGATTTTCCAGGTATGCATTTCAGTTGGGATGTTTTTATCTAATGCATTCAATTGTTTTTTTTTTAAAAATTGGTCTTCTGCAGCTACAGAGGCAAATGCTCCTTATTGTGTCCAATTCAGCTCAGTTGCTGATTGTTGTAGATTAATCAGAGCTGCAAAAATGGACCTCCACATTTCAGTTGAAAAAGAACAAAAGCAGCTGTCATCCTGCAGGTTTGCATTACTTTTCCTAAACAAAAGGCAAAATGTTTTGCATGAATATACCTTGAGTCACCTAGAAACATGAAACCCAATTAGTCACACTGCTCTTTCAGCAGTTTATCAATAGAAATAAAATAAAGATCATGCTGCATCTTGCAAAATTAGGAATTGCGAGAGCAGGTTCTGTTTCACAATATTTGAACTGCTGACTCACATGGGGAACAGAGAGGGTTGGCGGTGTAGAAGTTTGGAAGAAGCATCCCCTGAGCTGCCATGGCATCCAGGTTGGGGGTCTCTTTAGAGGGCTGGCCAAACACCCCCAGGTCCCCCCAGCCCATCTGAACAGAAGAGGGACGTTTATCAAGAAATCCATGCACATGCAAAGACAGAGGCTGTTTGCCAGCACTCAGTGAGCAGCTGTAACTCCTGAACACCAGGGACAGATGTGGAGCCTGAACTTATGTGTGCGCGTTACAAGTACTCACAGGAAGAGAGGAAACTTACGTCATCCATGAGCATGATGATAATGTTCGGAGACGAAACATTTGGTAGCTTTTCTGTCAAGGAACAACATATTAGTGCACTGAGAAGAGGGAGAGTTGCAGTCACCCGCATTGCTGAGCAGCGGTCATGTGAGCATCACCTATGAGGAAGTGGTTTATTTTGCCTTCGCGCCCGCCTTCAGCGCAACACTTGCGCATAGAGAGAAAAACGAATATCTTGAGATGGTTTCTTTTATTATTTCGATCAGGAATTCATTTAAGTATTTTTTTTGCCTATCGTTGCCATGCGAATGCAGTAGCGTTACGAATCAGGTCTTAAACTGCCAAACTGTACCAAAAAAAGACTGCTCCGTGTTATGCGGTGCATTCATGGGCTCCTAATAAACGTTGTACGTGCAAGACTAGGATTAAACATCGGTCGGAAATAATAACAAATGAATCATTTTTTAAAGTACTGCTTGGTAGATAAAGTTACTACATTACCATATAATACGTTATATAAGTGATATGGCTACGGTAAACACAATACATAAAAATCTGGTTCCCAAATTTCTTAGTTCTCTCTCTACCGATAGCTTTGAACGCATCTTTATCACGTGACAATAAGTGACAGCTCAGAAGAAAGCTAACATGGCGGTGTGTATAGCAGTGATCGCAAAAGAGGTAATAATTGCTGTTAAATGGACTAGCTTTTAACAAAACTGCTTGTTTCGTAATGATGAAAGATTTTCTTGTTCTTATAAAAGTCTCTAAGCAAATGTCAGCTTTCTCTGTAAGCCACAAGAAACACTTCAACAGCGCTAACGTTAACATGTAACATTAGCATTGTTGTATGCTGTCTGCTGTTACACATCTTTGCTAAATTTGTGTGCATGTTTTGCTATTAAGAGGTTCGCTGGTGTCTGTGCTCTTAAATGTCTTTTCCCCTAGAACTACCCGTTGTATATCCGCAGTGTGCCCACTCAGAATGAGCTGAAGTTTCACTACACAGTGCACACCTCCCTGGATGTGGTGGAGGAGAAGATCTCAGCTGTGGGCAAATCCTTGGGAGACCAGAGGGAGCTGTACCTGGGTCTGCTCTACCCGACCGAAGACTATAAAGTGTAACCTTTACGTTTATAGCGGTTTATCTTTTAGGGTTAAATGCTGGGAAAAGCTTAGAGTACAAGCGATCCAAGAGCTTGACTTATCTTTTAATTAAATCATCTTTTTTAACTGAGGTGAGACCTGTGATCTGACGTTAATTATCTGTTTTTAACAACATTCAGATAACACATCTTATTACACCAGAGGGATATATATATATATATATATATATATATATTTAAACCGTGCTTTGGGAACGTATTGTTGAAACCACTGCATGTTTCTGTCCTATAAAATGTAATGGTACCTCAGTCAGTGGATGGTGAGTACTTGCTCATCAATTGATTCCATCCATCATCTATACACCGCTTAATCCTCACGAGGGTCGCGGGAGCCTATCCCAGCTGACTTAGGGCGAAGGCAGGGGACACCATCGCAGGGCAGACAACCAAGCACACTCACACAATTTAGAAATCACCAATTAACCACAACATGTTTTTGGACTGTGTGGGAAGAAGCCGGAGAGAACCCACGCTGCACGGGGGGACGTGCAAACTCCACACAGAAAAATTCCGGTGCCCCCACTGGGACACGAACCGGCAACCTTCTAGCTGCGAGGCAACAGTGCTACCAACTGCGCCACCTTGCAGCCCGTCAATTAATTCCTCAAGACAAAACCAAATATCCTTGACTGGTAAAACAGATATGGGTATGTTACCAACTCCAAGGTGAAATTTGTAATTGTTGTGGACTCATCAAATACGTCATTGCGGGACAATGAAATAAGAAGTGTAAGTTGAGTCTATCAAGTGTCTAAACATGTTCAAACTAAGCAAAGTCTCCTATTTGTATTGCTGTTTTAAACCATCTTTATGTTCCTTAACTCAGTTGTCAACCATCTGATGAATTTCTCATCCTTGTATCACTGTAAAAAGTTTTAGACATGGACAGAGTTTTTGCACATTCTATTATCTTGTACAGAATTCTTACCATAAATATTTAGGAAACCTGGATGTAGGATGAGCGTGCGCATGCACACAACTTCTGAGCCCCACAGTGCAGTTCATAGTATGTCGTTAGTCTCCCACTGTTGTAGAAAACTGACAATTGTTAGTTTAAAGCACTCAACTATAACATTTCAGTACATCACAACTGCTGCCTGGTTTATTCTGTTCAGAGTGTAACTTGTACTTGCTCTTTTCCAGATGTTCAGAAAATTGCACAACTCTTTTACTGATGTAATGTGCAACCCATTTCACAACCCTGGGGACCCCATTCAGTCCAAGTGAGGTTATTTCTTTTAACTTTAAGATTTTTAGCACTTTTTCTAGTCATGTTTTTAAACTGTTGACTAATGATCTTCCAGGGCCTTCGACGGGATTGTTTCTGGAATGATGGTACAAACTGGCTGACATCCTTCCCAATGTGCCTCCACTGTACATAACACCCCTCATTCTTTTCTTTGCATATTGCCTTGATTGTTGAAATGTGTAATTGTAATAAAAATAACTGGTGTTGGACATCACTACATGTGTCATTTTACTACAAGTGGAGCACCAGATCATTGTTTTTATTTATTCATTTACATAGCAAAGAACTTAAGTTATACATACGGAGGATTTTTACATTACACCGCAGGCAGCAACACAAAACATTCGCATCATTTTATAAAAACAGATGCAACTGCATAACAATTTCAGGACTGTCCCATGCATTCACAGCAACAAAAGCTTATAATGCAACACCTTTGACTGCAGTCTGCATTCCTCACATCTCACACCCAGATGAAGGACAGATGCAGGGGTGCAACTAAAAAGGTCATTTCTGCAGTCACTTCTCTGCCTTTCGCAGGATACTCAATGACGCCTGAAAGCATTAGTAGTTTAAAATAATCACTTCTATTCCTCCCCCCCCAACTTGGTATGTATGCTGCAGGTAGTGCTAGCGCTGTTGAGGGTAGTGCTGTCTGCTCGACCCTGCCCCCAACTCCTCCGATGGTGGTGTGATGAGAAGAAGACATGGGTAACGTTTAGGCATCTGTTCATGGTAGTCCATGTGTCCCCACTGTCTCTTCCCCACTGAGGGTCCACCGTAGTACGGGTGGGGTGTCTGGTGTTGTGGCCTAGTGGACTGGTACCGAAATCTGCCTCGAGAGCTGTTGTGGTATCGGGGAGGACGGTAACCGCGTCCTCTGCCTCTGGAGTGGCTACCTCTGTGTCCTCCTCTGTCTGTGGTGCTGATGCCAGGCATGTTGGTCCTTTTAGGCATCACCTGCAAGCCAAAGGATACTGTAGTTACTGCTGTGTTTGATTTGTTTTACAAGAAATACCGTGTTTACTGTTCAGGAGTGATCGATCAAGGAATGAAATGTCTTGATGCAAAGAAAGATAATTAACTGCTTAGCTTAACAGTAAAAAACAAAACAAAACAAAAAAACAACAAAAAAGAGTACTTCTCCTTTCAACAGGAGGGATAGTGATGAATCACGTGGGGAGGAAATGCTAGTTTACAGGCTACATATGGGGGTCACTTGAGCGCATAACCAGTTTATGTAGAGTTGGGCAAAGTCTCCTGAATAGCAGTTTTCAAGTTCAGTCTGGTGGCCCCATCTGTCGCTATCTTGGAATTGCTTGATTCCTCCCAACTCCAGCTAACCCAAAAATGGGTAGAGGGTGAGTGGAGCTGAGGCAGGTCTGGAAACACAGCCGCTCTATTGACTGTCTTATCACTCAAACATAATTTTAAGCTTCAATAAAATTGAAACAGGTGAGATTAATAAAAATGTATCCCTCGTACAGCTGTCATGACAAAATAGCCATAGAGACCAAAACTGGGTTTTGTACCCAGCTGTGAAGTTGGACATTTCAAAAATGGGCAAGGGGTTTGACTCACTTTTAGAACCTAAAATAGCCATTCAAGGAGTTGCAGTTGTTGGCACTTGAGTGTTTGCTTCATTTTTCAGCCCCAAAAATTGCTCTTTGCCCCGATATTCATCCTCTGACCAAATCAAACATCCCAATCATCCATCAATCCTAAAAAGCTATTAGCAGTAGTAACCATTTCTAAAACATATACATAAATTTCTATGGTTACTTGGAGATCCTACTGGGCTGCAGACGTTCTGTAATAAGCAGGACTCCCGACTGCTACTATTTTGTTCACATTTGCAATCTTTTTTTTTGAGTGTGCAAGTGGGCGCATTGATGCAAGTGCATGATCATCATCAAGCTGCATTTGTGTCACTGTGACCAGCACAGGAAGCTTGTTGTGTTAACCACAGTAATGGAAAGCAGCACTTTTCAACTTTGGTGGACTGCAGTACTCACGCTTAAAAATGCGGTCATCTCATGAAAAACAGAGCACACCTGTATTCGTTGTTTTTTCCCCCCACTCATAGAAAAGACTGCATATAGAAGGAAAAAAAAAAACCAGTTTCATCTCGAACAAATCTGACATTAAAACGTCTCAGATTATTATTTTTTGAAAGTCATTTTTGGTTGTACACCTGTCTGAGGCCACCAAGCAGCATCTGCCACAGCCTGCAATGTGGGGCGTTTAAGGAACATATGTAAATTATAGTGTCTATCGATAAGAAAATGTTCAGCAAGTCATATGTTTTGCCTGTGACAAGGTGGGAGTTGGGACCAAATGAGAAAGTTGGTCGCACCAGTGAATAAGTTAGTCTGGAGCCCTGATAAGTCTTCTTTGCTCAGTCTCAGTGTAGTACAAAGTGTCAAAATTCCTCAAAGCACTTCTTGCAGCATGAACCTCGTGTGTCACTACCAGACATTTTCCCCCATGGTGCTATACAAGCTATGTATTGAACAAGTGCACTGAAATTTGACTTGACATGCGATTGTGTAGAAAACAAGTTTAGGGATTCTCAAGACCAACATGTTTTGCGGTGCACCTCACCTTAAGGACTCTCCCTCTGAACAAGGTCTCATGCAAACCAATAGCGCTCTGCACAGAGTCTCGATCAGAAAACTCAATGTAAGCAAAGCTGTGAAGGGGAAGACAGAAAAGACCAACACAGCAAATAAATTTGGATGCCAATATGCTTAAATTTGTATTCTGTGGTCACGCAAAGTCAGGCAGCAAAATGTGTTCAATAAGTATTCACAAGTTGAACTAACCCCTTGGGATGACCGGAAAACCTGTCACACAGGATTGTAACTCTGTTAACAGGACCGCAGCCGTTGAAATGGATCTCCAACTCATCTGCAGTAGCTCCGTAGTCTACCTGAGATTTGTTAAACAGCGTATCAGATAAGAGCTGAGAATAAAAACAAAACAAACCAAGTACAAAGAAAATGCAGAGACATAAGCCTTACATTTCCCACATAGACTGATCTGTTGTCTGCATCTATCCTCTCCTCAGGAGTCATATTGTAGAAAGGTCCTGTGGAGGAAACAAAAACAAACTATCACACTGCTCTCGTGCATGCAATATAAAGAATCTGTCATCTACACAGGTGGTCACTCCAGGTGAAATGAACAGAATGATTACTCTGACGAAAATATCTATTTCTTGCATAGTCTTTGACAAAACACATCTCAGAATCTGGCTCCCCTCTGATTGCATCTCTGTTCAGCGAGGGAACCAAAAGTGGAGGAAGGGGAGGGTGACAGGAATGAGGAGACGCACAGAGGCAGAAAATAGCCACAGGCAGCAAGGAGGACACTTCTGGTTCTCTGGGGCTCGCTGATTCGTCTCATTGGGCAGTGATGAGGCACATGTGAACACTGTTGTGACCACAGTGAAGTGTCCCAGGTGTTAGCCAGATGGTGAAGGATGCTGTTACCTCACCTGCCTGGAGGCTGCAGAGCTACACACCTGGCTAAAAATACACTGCCGAGGCTTCCCAAGTGCATAATCAGTATTTAGCTGTACACTGACGTGGCACAACAACAAACCACTCGGGCAGATAAGACGTGCAAGCGGTCTCACCAGGGCGAGGACTGCTGGTCAGGAGCTGCATGTCCACAGTGTCACACCTCTCGTCCTCCTCCTTCAGTCTTTCGGTTTCTTCTTCCATCTCCAGCTCCTGAACTCTGGCCTTGATGGCCATCAGCTCCTGAGACACAAGAATGGAAAGCAGAACTTGAAGCCACTGGAGAAGTCAAAGTAAGTCAAACACTCAAAACATAAAGCCATAATAATTCCTTGTGGGCAATGTTGCAGCATTTATATCCGTTTGGCGCAGCAGTCTCAAAAATTACTTAAAAACAATGATGCTGATATTTCAAGTTGGGTACTTAAGAATCAACATCAGAGATGTATTTGGAGGTTTGTGGTTACACATTATCTTACCTTGGCACTCAGTGATGGTTTTACTTTGATTTGTCATCTTTCATTGTAGACAGTGTGACATGAAACCACATAATGAGTGATTTTGTAATACAGGGATTCTCAATTCTGCCTTTGTTTTTTAGTTTACATTAGCTATGATTAATAATATAAACTCACTGATGCCTGAATGAAGGAATGGGTGGCCTATTTGGTGAGCATTGGCCACATTACTTGTAGCCAACATTAAGTGTATATTTACACTTGCATAGACGTGCACGAATCGTCACCAGGAGACGAGCTGAGCTACCGTGAGATTTCTGGGTAACCCAATAACCCCAGAGATTCAGTTATTATGTTGCTCAAAACACAAATAACAGAACCACGCTGTGTTGCGGACTGTGTCGCACCCTGATTTTCCCCACAAGTCACTAAAGCATATTATATAGGATGTGGCTCACTGATGTCGTTCGTATTATGTTTTTATCTGTGCTACAACGACACCACATTGGGCTTTGCTACTGTTTGCGCAGCGTAACAAGCCTCGTTTTGCGCGCCCCGCCGACGTGCGTACAAAGACACGAACGAACGTGACAGCAGCCCTCGTTTGGTTCGCCACAAACGCAGCGAGACTTACCGGGTCCTCGGTGAAATGCTCTCCGATGGACTCGCCCTCCAGGTAGCCGTACTCCAGATGATTTTCCGCCATGCTCACTGCTCAGACATAGCATCTGCAAAGCTGCCTGCAGCCTGCCAAAACCGGCCGCACGCAAAGAAAGGGGAAAAAAAACTACGCTCACTCACAGCAAAGAAAAACACGTTGATGGTCCGCAGACGCGACACCTGACGGCATATGAGGTGAGCTAATAGATATCACCTGTGAATGAGAATCATGACGAGCCGGACTGATTGACAGTGGAGCACACGTGAGAGTGATGCTGGAAGGAGGGTGTCTTCCTCCCACTGCCGGATCCAGCGTTCATGGGGCCCTGGCTGCTCTTAAGAGGCCACCTCGCCCCCATGGGGAAACCACTACAAATCTCCAAACAGTGATGAATTATAAGATCTACATTTGTTGAATGTAAATTGTGGAATTCTTAAAAAAAAAGAAAAGAAAAAAGAAAAAAGGTTTATTTGGGATATTCTTTTGCATTTGGCAAAAATCCCTTAACGCTATTAAAAATGGACATGGAAACATGCTTATTTCTATACATCCAGTCCACTCAGTTCCACATCTTGGTGAAATCAAACCAGTGATGCTGCCCAAAAATGCAAAAATGTAGCGTTTTTATACTCCTAATTTTGACACTATTGTGCCTAAAAGTTGTGAAGCAGAAAACTGCACATCTCATCACGTGTGTTTCTTTGTACAAGTTTTGATCATGCAAAAGATCTTTTTTTTTTTAAAAAAAAAAGCATCTTTCAACAAGCAGAAAAGCCTAGATTATTGTGGAAAGCATGTTGTGGCAGGGGCCTTCAGTGAAGCTTCACATTTAGATCTAACTTCATCTTGCCTGCCCATGTATTCAAATTCAGTTATTTATTGTGGTTGCAATGGTACTAATAACTGTCATATTCTAGCATAATCTGTGCAGCTTCTGAGTAATGTTTGCAACAGAACCTACATTTAACAGTCTGTTATCTGACATTTTTACCAACAATTTTTGCTTTTGCACTTGTAAAATGCCAAAAATATTTAAATATAATTTATACGCAGTTGCGAGCACACCAAGTTTGACCTGCTGACAGAAGACAGTTGGACAGACTGTACACATGGTCTTGTTGTCACCGCAATGACTAAGATATTCCAGGACCTCCATTAAACTCAGTACTATACACCCATATGGTGTGGGGAATTCTGCAAAACTGCAGACATGATAAAATAAAGGAACATAAATTGTCTTAGTAAGGTGTTGGGTCACCATGTGCTGCTAGAACAGTATTAGTGTTTCTTGGCACTTCAATCTCTATAACTCTACTAGAGAGATGGAGCACAATTCTTCCATAAGACAGTCCTTCAACTGTTTTGATGACGGTGGTTGAGAGTCTAAATCTCTTAAAGGTGTTCAGTTGGGTTTAGATCTGGCAAATGTAAAGGCCATAGCTAACATAGTATCACAAGATTACGTATAAATATCCGCTTCTGGCACATTTTGCATGTCATTTCTACACTTTTTGTGTGACATTTTCTGGTGTTAAAATAACACGTAAGATGGTTAAGGTTAGGGTAAAGGATAGAGGGAGTCATTTGTCGCAGCTATATTGGGTGCAATGATATGCCAAAATGCAAAAAAAAAAAAAAAAAACACCTTTTCAGGATACCACGCTGCTATAGCATACTTTTTGCATCATTTTCATCCTCATCACACCATTCGGTGACCCCTCATGCCCTATGGATAAGGGCCACTTTTATCAGTATAGACATGTTTCATCATCAGATCAAGGTGATCACTTAGAAAGCATCATTTGCCATTTGCAGTGTCCCTTCCCTGTAATGGGACAAGTGGACCCAAACCATGCCAGCAAAATGCCACTTAAAGCATAACATAGCAACTCAATCCCTCACTGTAGAGGTCAAAGGTTCAAATTTTACCTTTAATTTGTCGCCTGTCTGTATATCAGTAGCTGTAAGTTACCTGAACGGATGGATAAGGTGTTACTAATAACATTACTGATAGCTCATTTCTATTCAAGTGTCTCAAAAAGTGTGACAGTGAACCAGCATCGATAAAATCAGGACTTTGGAACCAAAGCAGCTTCATGGAATTTACTGATTATTAATTTTATCATCTGTGCGTTTCCTACTGTGAAATGTCACAGTGTTCATTTTGCATTATTATATTATATTCAAGACACCAATTGTTGAACGCTAGAAAACAAAATATTCTGACCTTGCATCTTTTGAAAAAACTATATCCTGTACTGTAAATATGAGGGAGAAAATAACTAAATAATTTAAAAACATGTAGGGACAAGTATTGCAGGTTTTGAGCTTCATGCTGAAAAAGACAAAAATTAGGAGTTTAACTTGTTGTTTGGTTATCTCTGCAACATCCAGTGTTTTCCTTTCTGTCTGTCTTTCTCTCTGCTTAAATCAAGACAGTACACCCTGTTCCAGCTCTTTACTGAAGAAACAATATGGTTATAATGAGCAAAATAATCCACTTCACAATGTCTTTTGTATCATTTTTATATGCATGTCCACAAAATCTAGCCTGCCATATGTAGAATCTAAGGGAAGGTTTAGATCTTGGACAAAATTTTAAATAACTCTTCGTGGGTTTGGACAATATTTGTTTGCACAGCATCAACTTGGAAGAGGTTAAAAATTTATGACAGAATGAGATCAAAGTGTTACATCCTTCTTTAGTGGAAGATATGTGAATTCACATGAGATACAATGTGCATGAGTATATGGTTGTAAGTGTATATCTGTGAGTGAGTGTCAATAACAGTAATATGAGGTCAGAGACCTGGACCGAGCTTGTCTGTGATTGGTTCGCGTGTTGTGTATTACTGTTGTAACATGCTTGATAATTACATCATGATATTTGGTATGGTTGGATTTGCTGGCATGAAATATCTAAAGATGTGAGGGAATACAATGATGTTGTGTTTGAAATTGAAATAATGACTTTGTGTTGGTAATAACTGAATGACAATGGTTCATTTTCCTTTTCTTGAAAAGTCATCTTAGAATACACCCACATTTAAAGAAGAGAAGCAACAAGTGATGAATACGTCATTTCATGTTTTAATTACACAGTACATTGTTCAACACAGACAATAACCTGAAATAGAATGTTTTACAGCTTCACACATCCAACAGAGCGAACAGTTAAAGAGCGGTATTAGCAACAGGGAGGAAAGCATGCAAGAAATAAATACAAATCAGAATTTAATTCTTCTGGCACAGTTTACTTCATCTAAAAATGGCAACAGGATTGTTTGAAGAGGGAAATTAAACAAAAGGAGAAAAATCTTCAAAGCGCCAACCTTTCCTACAGAAACGTGTTTTTTCTGTAATAATGTATTGCACAATACAGTATAGAATGCTTCCCTACACATATAAAACCATAGACCTTTTTTTCCCCGTTTATGTAAAGGTAAAACAAGACCATCCTGAGCCATGGCTTTGGGGAAAACAAGTGCAGTATCCACCGTTTGCCACCTTAGCTTTCTACTGTAGCTTTAATCGGAGGGTCAGGAAGGACATGTCACCATCACACCAGATGAGCTTTGAAACGTCATTGGCAGAGTTTAAGGTTGGGGTAGGGAGAGACAAATGCCAACCTGCTAATATTTGTCTTTTCTTAACATGTGTTTTGCCCACATCATGTACATAGTTAAAGGAATAGAAAAGTGGCTGATGTAAAAGTGTTTGGAGACCCTTGGATGGTATCCACAACAGCAGAGCCCTTATGCATTTGCCTTCTATAATATCTTCACAGAGAAAAGTAAATGACACCACAGCATAAATTGCATCTGTTTCATGACTTAATGAGTCTTACATCCAGCTGAACGGAGCAATGATCTGATCTTTTGCATCCTGCTGCCCAGTGAAATCAGTGAAGGACTTTTTTTTTTTTTTTTTTTGCAGGACTGCAGCCTCACGTCCCACACATGTCCTCCACCACTGGGATGCAGCACAAAAACCTTAACCAAAGTGAAATCTGAAGAAGAAAAGTTGTAGCTTTTGGTTGCATTTTGGTCATTTATAAGTGGTCTGTTGGGTTTGGCTTTGTTTAGTTTACGTGAGGGCTTTCTTGCAGACACAGAGGCACACACAAAGCACTCAAGAGTTAAATGGAATTGTCATCCCAATGCCGTTTTTGATATTGTAGAAAAACACGGTACTTTACTGCACAAAGCTGCCACTACATATTGTGAATCGATGTGCCACTATAGTCTGTCTCGGATGTTTCATTAAAGCTCTGAAGGTTTCAAGTAGTTTGTACAGAGGCATACAGACAAAAGATATATTTTACAAAACCACACACACCACCACCATCATCCACACACGCAAACACATACACACACCATGCATTCACTTTATCTCTGCAAGGCTTTGCAACTGGAAGAACACACAGTAGGATTTTTAAAAGGAGATGCTTCTATTGTTTTTGTTTTTTCTGGAGAAGCACTGTTCAATATGTAGACAACAAGCACTTTGATTACTTGAATAAGAATTCTACACATGTGAAACTCAGCCAGTTCATTGAGCGTGCTCTTCACTCCTGGGCTCTGAATGTGTGTATTCCAGACACTTTGGTTAAGTGGTATAGTGGAGCTCTAACCTTATTACTTCTGGTCTTATAATCACACCGTGTCAAAGCCTACTATGGCAATGCAGGAGTACTTTGGTCTGTGCTTTTATTGGTTTTGGACAACAAATGGCATGTCATGGTTGATTCTGTATTGAGTTTGGTAATATGCAAGTCTGACTATATGCGTGCCTGTTGTTAAATTCCAGCAGAATCAGTTGTTTTTTTTTTAGTGCGATGTGATCAAAAAGGTGCGGTCTGGTGGGAATAAATATTTTTCCACAACATTAGTAATGACAATTCCTTCTTTTGTTTTGTGTTTTTTTTTTCTTTTTGAAGAATTTTCAGAGTTACTTTTGAATGTGCTTCCGTGTCTGCTCTCAGCCCAGCTTTTCAAAGTCCAGGTCAACCTCTCCTGGCGGTTAGCTGTATGGTCACAGGAGGTAGCTAGTGTGAGGAGTTGTAGTTGGGGGGATGGGAGTTGTGAAGCGTGGTCTGTGGTAGAAGTGGAGGAAAACAGACGTCAGAGGAGAAGGAGAAAGTTACACAGATTGGCTGAGGTCGACATCATAACATGGTCATTGTAAAACGCATAGACGCTGCACACAGATGCAGGGGTACCTTGCAGCTTATCTCACTTGAATTGCAGGTCTCTGGTAATCTCCTTTATATATATATATCTGTTGATGAATAAAAAAGGAAGTTTTCCAATGCCTCCCACTACAGATTTTTTTTTTCTTTTCCCAAGTTTGGTCCAAGTGTGAATGAGGCCAATCATGTAGGGTTTACTATGATCCATATAAAACAAAGTTTTTAAAGGCCTTGAGACTGTTGTTTACAATAGGTTATTGCTGGAGCATGTGGGAAAGAAAAATGTGATGCTACTCTTTTGGCCTGGAAATAATTATAGACCAGTGACAGATTTTCAGCTTATGCTCAGATTGCATCTTTACAAATAAACAATAATCATGTTTTTCTTTAGAAAGAAACGTTTTTAAAGATCGGGCATTAAAATTACTTGACTGTAGCTTAACACTGGTGTATCACTGATTCCTACAGCAACGGCTTGTCCTGCACCACCGGGGGGGGGGGCAAACACTCCATACGCATACGGACTGAGGACCAAGAGAGAAGATCACTATAGTGGTGCTTGAGGTAAAAGGTAAGAAACAGAACACAAGAGATGTTATGTCAAGTTGGACAATTCCTACATTTGGCGTGAATGACGTAATTTTAAAACTGACTTCTAACCCTATTTAAACTATCGACTATATTGGGCCTTTCTATCGAACACACACTGCTGAGTCCCCTCCTGCAGGATGGAGCTATTTTACCTCTGTTACCAACAGTCTCCTCCACTTAAGGTCACATGACACTTTGATTAAAGTGAAAATTGAAGAAAAGTGTTTATGAGAGAGGAGAAAAAAAAGATGTTGATCAATTTGAGAAACAAATGCACTGTGAGAAACTCATATTCTGGACGTTAAACTTTAAAGGTTTCTGTTATTTGGCAAACACATTTTTGGACCTCTTTAAATACTATGTACATTCACATTAAGTTACTGATGTTACTTTAAATATATTTATATGTATCTATATTATATGACACCCTATGGGCAGTTGCTGAGGTTCAATTCAGTAGCTGAATTCTCTTCATATTGCACCTCTGTCCTCTCACTGTCTTACAATGCGAGCAATAGAAAATATTCTACAAGAGGGGTTTCATCTCATTAATATAGATACAAAAAAGTCAAACAATAAGTACAATGTGGGGCTTCCTCTCACAAACAAGTGTCCTTGCTCTGTCTTCACTGCTCAGCCCGTACTTATAAAGGAGGGAAATGAAAGGTAACGAAATCCAAAACAAAGTCCACCTTTCTTGGATATACACAAGGGCAGCACATGTGGACATCAGCAACAAGAGACATTATTGAAAAATGAAAGGAGGAACAATATCTACAAGCAGGTTTGACCCGACCCCCGTGGCTGCTCTGTGGCGCTGTCCAAAGCAGGCTGGGATCAGGGGGCAGATTTGAGTCAAGTAGTTGGGGGGGAGGGACGAGCGTAGAAGGGGGAGGTGTGTGGGGCGAGGGGAGGTAGAAAGACAGAGGAGAACAAAGTCTACACCACCCTTTACTAGGCTCTTTCATCTGTTTATCATGCTTTGGGGGGGAAAAAAGGAGGGAGTGGATGTAAAGATAAAGAGCAACTCCTTGAAATATCTCCTCATTGTGGAGCTTTTAAAAAAACAAACTTACAAACAATCTTCTCATACGTCTCCATAGTATGCAAAATGCCTTCTTGGACAATGTTTTCAAGCTTGTGTTGAGGGTTTTTTTGTTTGTTTGTTTTGGCAGCTCCGTTGCCGTGTATGTATCTTCATCTCCTTTGAGGCTGTGTAGCTCCTCCTTTCCTCTGTTTTTTTCTCTTTGTCCTCTCTACCATTCACAAAAAAAGAAAAAAAAAAAACAACACACACACACACACTGTTGCAGGATTTCCATTCATTTCATTAAGTCTTTCTTGTAGGCAAGTTCACAGCATTGTCCATAATTCACTAGTCTGGGCCATCTCTGAGGAATCGCTGTAGTTTTTCTCGAGACTGCAGGAAGAAGCTGCGGATCAAAACAGGTCACAGGCATGTTGTTGGGTTTTTTTTGTTTGTTTTTTAATGTCCGACTCTGGGTTCCGTCCTGCAGCTCCTCTGCAGTCCTGGTCCTCTCAGGGCTGGCTTATCTGCTGAGGAGGTGATGTTGCTTTGCGTTTGGTTATAAGATGAGTGCTTCACTTTATCGCTTACTTACTCACTTTGGCAGTGTAATACAAAGGTTTGGATCATGTTATTTTTTTCATCTTTGAATTCATTTGGGTTCACAATGGTACAGAGAGGTGAGTCCGGTGTAGATTTTCTTGGCTCGCTAGCAAGGTAGTTAGCAGTTTAAAATTAATTTATTTTCATATCATTACTGTTATCATCAGCATCAGCATCATCATCACTATTATTCTTTATTTAGAATATTTGGACTTTTCTTTATTTTCCGTTAAAGCCAGAAAGAAACATTTCATAAATACTAAGCTGTGTTTCTGAGGAATAAATCACATCACTGGTTTTACCCCTTCCCTTGTACATTTGATAAAATGTATTAGGTTCCTTGCCTGTCTCCATTGGGACACTGTCGAAGAAGTGCCACGTGAGTGAACTGTTTGGACTTTTAGTGCACATGTTCTTTCATTGGTGCTAAATTAAAGGGAAATCCTATCCAATTCGGCCTAGTCATCCCCATCAATGCTGCCTTATCTTGCGTCCTTACGTGTACTGTGTTCACCGTGCTTACATTACTGAGAGCACATCCTCAAAGCAAAGCTCATGTTCTCAGCAAACACATCTGATATGTTTCTATTACAGAGATAGGAGACACTGCACTATTCATGCTTTACACTAAGGTGAACCCCAGACTGGAATCTTTGTATCCATGGCCGTTGTTGTAAAAGAGACAGAAAATAATTTTTTTTAGGGGGAAGGTGAGAAAAGTAGTCGCTATAAGGTAGTGAGAAGATTTTCAGAAGAGCTTAGGATAAGAGGGAAATAAAGATTGAAGCAGGGGGAGGAGGAAGGGGAGCGGTGTGCGATGAAGATTCCTCAGTTTGGTTTTGTGTGGAGTGTGGGCACTGTCACTTCAGTTTGCAGGGAAAAGGGACAAGAGGTCGGACGTCAGCGAGAGGTGGCTTCCAGTAGGGCGGGGGTAGCTGGAGTTGTGGAGCGAGAGGCACTGCTGGAACTGCTCTCTTTTGGGCTTGCGGAGACACTTCCACTGCCACTGCCAGCCCCTCCGCCAATACTGCTCTGGCCTACCAGGGAAAGGGGTCCTGGAGGAGTGCTCTCGGAGTGGGTGGGGGGCGCGCTGGAGGATGCCGAGGAGGAAGAGGGGTTGCCGAGGGGGACGCTGCTGCCTCCTGGCATTCCCTGCAGGCCCTGACCACAGACATGGTGGTGCTTCTCCCAGTCTTTGTGTTGGCAGAAGGAGCCGCAGTAGCGAGCCGTGTTGCAGCCGCTGCACGTCTCACTGGCCTTCCTCCCGCAGTTCCAGCAGCTCTGGTGAGACAGTAGGGAGAGGTTGATAAAAATAAGTCTCTTTTGTATCCCATGATAATTAGTCTTTGTTTCATAAATATATGTTGGAAGGTAAATAAATCTTTTTTTATCATCTAGTGTTTGTGTCTGATACTCGTTTTTTTTTTTGTTTGTTTGTTTTTTGTTTTGTTTTGTTTTGTTTTGTTTTTCTTCTCTTGGGGTTTTAATGTTATGGAGTTGAATCTTGGTCCAAGGCCACTGGTTTGTGTTACCAGCAGGTGGTGGTCAACTGCTCTGTAATGAACTCAGCCTGGCATTCTGCTCCAACCATCTGGATCTGTCTGCTTTTATTTACACAGACAACTGGACTGCTTCTGCAATAATGATGACAACATGGTGCAGCAGCAAACCAAGAGAAGCCATTTGTATGGATTACACAATCCAAGTTGAGGGGGGGAACAAAGTGAAGAGCAATGGATGGATCAAGAGAGTCTTAAAAAAGTGAGCAGATGAGCGAAGGGCTGAGTAAAGAATTGAAGATCAAATTAGGGGAGACTGAGGCGATATGTGGGTGGGGGGTCTGTGACACTCACTTCACTGGAGTCTTCCTGCTGGTTGATGACTGTTAGTGCATCCTCGGAGGCTTGCCTCTTGGCTTCGGCCAGCGCCCTCTCCATTTTCGAGCGTTCCGCGGAAATCATCTCATGAGCCTTCCTCTCAGCGTCCGACACCGCCTTCTGCAGCTCCGACATTGCCTGTCGCTTCACCTCATTCACAGCCTCTTCTGAGAGAAAGAAAGAGAGAAAGAGAGCAAGGGAGAGGTGTAAGTGCTGATGGCCATCGTCCCATCCTGCCTGCTCTGTCATCCTTTATTAAGGCTCTATAAGCTGCCATCTTGTTGCATCTCAGCAAACAGATGTACATCATCCAAGATTTAAGAGTTTCTGCCAGAAAAGTGAAACAGCCAGACTTCAATAATTAATTCAAACACGTCTGGTCACAATAATTTCAGAGCTGACAACAGCAGATGTCACCAACTTGGCTGTTCATCTAACATACTGAGATTCCCTGTTTGCATGATTGGCGTCTTGTCATAAGAATAATTTTAATAGAAATTATTTGACTGAGTTTACAGTGAAGAGTTAATCATTTTCCCAGCAGTGGGCATGAATATTTCCACTCCAGGACTTCCTACAATGTAGATTTTTATCACAGGGGGCTTTTGTTCTTCCAGCACAAGCAATCTGTATGAGTGAGGAGGCTGTGTTTTTACAACAGGCAGGTGTGCAGTCTCCTTTCCAGATGGCAGTCTAAAATAGAAACTTCCTGTAGTGCCTTCTCAGTAAGAGGCAGGAGTGATTACATTTCTTTCATTATTGGCCTCACAGTGCACAACAAACGCACGCTACATGATTTTTCCCAGGACTTTTTTCGCCCGAGAAATAGGTTGCCAAATATACACTGTTTATAAATCAAATGCTAATGTGGTGGCAAGATATGAATTCCTCTAAAATGTCATTTTCCTCTGCAACATGATGCTTCTCCCTCCAGCTCCAGCTCCTCCAGATGTGCACACACATAAAGCCACGAATGACACACATATGAGCAGATTGCCAGGTGTGTTGGACCAACTAAGTAGGAGGTGAGGCTGATACTGTTCTCTCCACTGCTCCCCATTTCCTCCAGTCAGTGTTTGTTTGAGAGCAAACTCATAAATAACTGTCACTTTTCTCCGCTGCTCCACTCCAGTTGTTTCAAACTACTGTGCAAAAAGATAGGCAGCGGTGGGGGAGCCTTATCCACACTCTGCTGTGTGTGCGCACATGGGCGTGTGCGCATGTTTGTCTGCTAGCGTGCATGACTGAGATTGATTCCTACGCTCATATGCTTAAGAAGTTCGTATTCCTTCAATCCTGTGAACATATAGTCACACTTTATCTCAACACTTCCCCTCACCCTGCCATCCCGTCTCCACCTTTATCCTGCATTTCATTTCTACTCCTTTTTCTTATATCCCTCCTCCTCCTTCTCTTCTTTCTTCTCTCCCCTGCAAACACTATCTGCATTATTCCAAGCTTCTCAATTATCTGGCCTAATGCATGTACCAGTAAGATTAGTTTGCAAATTTAATTAATTCTTATCAAGGAGACTGCATAGCAGATGCTGGGGCAATTAGCACTTAATGGAAAACACGAGGGCAGCAATATTAACGTTTTAATTCCACAGGGATTTGGCAAGTCCCTGAGATGCGTTATTTCTGTCTGCTTTTTCACACTTCAGATCTTATTTTTCAAAAGCACTGCAGTCTCTCAACCTGAACCAGACCTACGTGTCTGGTTTTAATTAAAAGCAAGAGGTGCTGCAGCTACATCAGGCGGACTACCTGGCTAGCTGAGATAGATACATACACCCATGCAGGCACACAGACACTCGAGGTGAGATATTGGGAGTGAGATGTGTTACTCACCCTGCTTGTTTTGGAGGTGCTTTAGCGCTGGGGAGAGCGGGATGCTTGTAGTACCTGTATGAAAAACAACTGCAATTAAAAGAGCTTTTTCTGCTGGTGAAAATGCAGCACAGTATTTTGCCGACAGCAGCAGCATCTTTCCTCTGCAGGGTGTTGGAGTATGAGTGCAACATAATAGTGCTGGGACTGAGGTGGAACAAGGGTTGAACCAGACGACTCCTGGGATGGGCTCTATCTAACATGCAGAGTACAGGAAGGCCCATGCAACGCAGCACTCCCAACTGCTTCCCTTTGGCTACGAAATGAGCCAAAAATAAAAGTGATGATCAACTATTTTTGCCTGTATATACAAGTTGTTTGTATTTAATTCACTTCAGTCATAAGTTTGTGTATGAAATGTAAATGATATGTTTCTCAGGACAAAGGAGACCCGTTTAGCTCCACCCTGTGCTGTGCTGCTGTGGCCTACCATAGGCCCGGTGACTGCATTTTCACTGCAGCTTTAACTGCAGTGGCCTTTCATAGTGGTGACAGATGGAGGGCATTTAGCCTTAATGACACAGAGGGCCTCCAGTCCTCTGGCCTGATGGACCTACGGCTGTAAGGCCTCTGTTCTGTCTGTCGTAGTAGCCAGGGTGAGGGCCGTGAAGACTGATGACGGTGGTTATATGTGTGTTCTCTTAGTCTGTGTGAGGTCAGTCATGAAGACAATAGAAAGAGGAGGCAGAAGCCTGGCTCTTACCAGCTTTCCTCCAGATTTCTTCTGGCAGGTATCCTGAGGGAGGCCTGTGTAAGAAGTCTCGGTGGATCTCTGCAACACACACACAGGCACACAGTGTCAGTGAGACACATGCGCAGCGACAAACTCTTGATCTGCACGAATACACATCCAGCCAAGTCTCCCTTATAGTTTTCAGTTCTATTTTTGGGAGCAATGCAAAACTATGTGTGTGGCAACATCAGTAAATATGCTGTCATCGACTTTCTCATCCATTTCTTGGAAGGAATGGGAACACAGGAGTTAGAAGTGAATACAAATCTTAATTATGAATGAGCATGCTGTCAACATAAGGGTGCAATCAGCTGAAAGATCCAGGATGTTGTAACTAGATTTGTATTTCCTCACATAATGAGCTAAAATTGGTAGATCTCCAGAAAGTATGATCATCTAACTGACTGCTTATGTTTAGATTGAAAAGTTAAGGTATTTCACCATTTCAGATAAGCCCTACCTTGCTGTGAGTGTTTTGCTTTGCCAAACATACCCTGTGTGTGTTTGTCTACCTGTCTGTCTGCCTGTCTGCCTTTCAGCAGCCGAGGAAGTTCCTATGGGCAGTGACTCGCTGCTGCTAGCTGTGTTGGAGGAGGAGTTGTGGTGAGGAGTAGGAGGAGGAGGAGGTAGAGGAGGAGGAGGAGGAAGGCAATGCTGTCCGTTGCTCCCACCTTTTTTCATCTCCTCCACGTCGCTGTACCGCCGAATCCAGTGATTCATCTCCTCCCGGTCGGCCTCCTGGCAGCGGCGCAGCACTGTCAGAGAGCGCCGTGTCTTCTCTACCATGTCCATGATGCAGTTCAGGAGCTGCAGATTGAAATGATGGAGGAGAGGTTAAAACATTTTCTTAAAGCGATAAACGAACAAGAGAAGTCTGGCAGTTCTTCATCTACTTGAAAATGTGAATCTCATCCTTCCAGACATGTGCTCAGGTCCCACAAAAGCAGCAAAACTTTTCACAGCAGAGGTTTTCGAAATGAAGCCAACTTGATTAATACATATAAAACTTGTTTATGGAGAAATCGTTACTTTTGCAGCTGTACATCTACAAACTATTTTAATCTGTCCCACCAGATACCATCTAGCAGACGTATGTGCTTGCGTGTGCCTATGAGTTACCTCCTCTGCCTGTCTGTTCATGGATTGTGTGCTTGTCAGTGAATTTCAGTGTCTAAGAGCATTACAACAACAACACACACACACACACACACACACACACACACACTTGTAAACAGTGTCACTTTTTTCCACAGTGCCCTGTCTTTCCAGACCCAGCAAGGTCTACTAAATGGGCTTAGCATGGTTGACATTCAGTCCATATCATTACTCCCATTCAGCAACCCCCCCTCTCTCCCTCTCTCCTTCCCTCTGTCTCTCCATCAGCCTCCCTCCCCTCTGAGTTAGCTATATTTATTTCAGTGAAGTGTTTCTAATTTGGCAGAGGTCCAGGCCTGGCCGGTTCTCTCCATGACTGCAGCTCTTGTCTCAGCTGCTCTCCCCAGCTGGAGCTGCTCTCTGCTGGGTCCTGAGCTCCATCTGGGGCTCTGTTTCTCTCTCTCACTCTCTGTCCATGTGTGGGTGTATGTGTGTGCATGATTTTCTCTTCGTGGAGATGGGTGCCAGGAATCCAGATAGGTGTCTGTCTGTTGTTAATTCACCACATGGACACAGACCTCCTGAGGTCAGCCGTCCGTCAACTGCTCGCTCAGCTGGGACGGAGGCTGTTGGGTCTGTCAACTGTTCCTGCCGCTGTCATCTGCATGCCATCTTTAGCACCAAAACTAACTTTATCCACCCGCTGACCTCTTAGCTGTTTTTTTTTCCCCCTGCTGCTTCAATATGAATGAAAGAAAGAAGGAGCTGATGTCAAGCGCGACACTGATACGTACGTTATCAAGGTGCTTCCATTCCTCTGCCCACTCTCGATCTGTAAGACGGTGATCGATCACCTCCTCTTGACGGGCTCCGTGCACTGCTGCAACAAAGACACACGGGACATTTCTTTTAGTGTCATACGCAGTGCAGATGGCAATTTACAGTTAACAATTTCTAAGCCTGCATTTTAGTCACATACAATTCTCACATCATCACGTGGTTAATATACACACAGATCTAGTCAGGAAGGCTTTTTGTTTGTTTGTTTCTTGACTTTGCTTATTGATCAGAGACTTTTTTAACAACTGTATATTAATGGATATCAGGCTTTTGATTACCCACTATGCATGTCTGCGTTTTGTGTACATAAACTGTATTTTCTTGTTTTTAATTTTTTTCTGTACACATTCCATGTGGCTGTGTGCATGTTTATGTAAAGCACATTGTGTTTTCCTGCTATAAATCTATATAATAGATTGAGACTTTGCAGTAGCCTTTCTAAATAGCCCAGTTGATGCTATATGTGAAGAAGCATAAATGGCTTCACCAAATCCACTGTGCAAATGTGATTTTTTTCAGTTTTCCTAACCTAACAAGAGGTGACATGTGTAATCAGACATGAGGCGGTAGACATGAGAGAGTATGGCTAAGAATTCATCTCTTTCCTTTTGGGAAAGCAGAAGGAAGGCATATATGGTTGCCACAGTTGGCCACATGGGCATGTATGGCTGTGGTCTTTATATAGACACACTGCCACAAGGATTATAACACCAGAGTGACAACTGGCCTTTGTTCTCTACATATAGCCCACTTACACACAAGCCCACTCAGGCTCGACCATGTAACTGTGTAATATATGTGACTGTGGACAAATAGATTTATCAAATCATATCAATGCTCTACAGATGTTCTACCTGTCTGCCGGTGCCTGTCTCGGGTGTCGCGGTGTTCGGTGTGTCTGTAAGCGTCTCTGTATTGGTGTGCCAGGGCCATGTCTTCTAAGCGATAGTGCTGGGGTCCAACTTGGGGGTTGGGTGGGTGGGGCAGGCCGTTCGGAGGGTGTGTAGAGAGACCGTTGGGATTTGGGTGAGCAGGAAGACCCGTGCTGGGACTAAAGCGTTGGCTGGGGCTGATGGTGCAAGGCCTCTTTGCCAGGTGCTCTGGGTGCAACCCATCTCTGTCTGAACTGTCTTTGGTCCTGCAGAGGAGAAAGGGAGTGGGTTAAAACATGATGGACTGCTAAAATACATAATGTATGCTAAGGTTGATGAATAGAGGCATGGCTTAATGCAGTACTATTTTGTGAATGAGCAACTACTTTGTGAGAACAGATTTTCTATTCGCTTCACAACGTCATTACGTTGCAGTATGAAAAAACAGACCACGAATAAATTGCTGTGTTAACAAAACAATGAAGCGTTCAATGAAGAATTTAAACCCATGGGATGAAATTTGAACTCATTGGACGTAGACGAAGGCCTGTGGTGTTTTTCCAGCAACGGGAAGTGTGGGATGTATGGTTTATTATGGTCTACAACAAAGCATGTCATTATTGAGCAATTTGGTGTTTTTCTGTCAATGTGCAGCAGCCTTGCGCAGCTCTGTTCCTCCGTTGACCTCAGATGAACGCAAAATCAATCAGAAATTGTTCAGCTACTAACGTGACTACCCTCATTTTTTGAAAAATAAAATTAAATGCATGGCTCATTTCTACAGAAGTGCATTGCATTCACTGGGTTAAAAAAAAAATTAAAAAAATTAGACACCCTATCTCGTATTTACGAGAAAAGAGCTCGTAATTATGAGATCAGGACCTCGTAATTACGAGATGAGGAAAGGTGCCGCATTGGCCACTGCTTCACTCAGAAAACTGCACACCCACGCAACGGTAAATGCATATATGTGATATAAGGTATCTAGTTAAGATATCTAGATAAGATACTTAGATACGATAGGGTGTCTATTTTATTTTTTTACCCAGTGAATACAGTGCGCTTCCATACATTTCTAACCTCAGTTTTTCAAAACTAATTTTTAACACTGTGTTGATGTCCGAAGGAAGGGAATGAACTTTTATATGGACTGCTTCATCTTTTTTCAGCAAGTCCATCTATGGCCTCACCAGACCACAATGAGTAATGCAAAAACTGTAAGATTGCTTTGCCAGGATAAATATACAGTACAATGCCAGTGTATTACTTCATGGTTTAGAAGACATGCCGCAATGAAGGCCAGAATTTCCTTAAAATCCATTCAAGGGAAATAGACAGAGGTGGAACTCTTCATGATGTCGAATCGTGTTTGTCTATGTGTTTCTGATGAGCTAGTAATGCTTGTGTTTGGCATACCATTAAAAAAACTCTCTCTCTCTCTCTCTCTCTCTCTCTCTCTCTCTCTCTCTCTCTCTCTCTCACACACACACACACACACACACACACACACACACACACACACGTCTATGTATCCCTGTGGAGAACTGCTTGTTGTTCAGTTACAGTAAGGGAGTGCCTCTCCAAAGCTTTTGCACAGCTGTACGCCATATGTATCAAACAAAACCAAGTCCAACTGTGTCTCAAGCTCTTAATCTGAATATCCTTCAGCCTACTCTTAGATTGCAAGTATTTCTCCCTCTCCCTCCCGCCCTGCTCTTGGGCTTAAGGGGCAATATGGGCTGAATGCTGTGTATTTGGCAGATGTTTAGTGACACTCGTGTGTGTCTGTCTGCTTTAAGTGAGTGTGTATCTGTGTGTGTGTGTGTGAAAGGTTGTGTTTTCGAGCCATCTGGGCAGTTTAAATGGGAGTGTTGATATTAATCTGTTTAGCTGGATAGCAATAGCCAGGCATTCAGATGGAAATAACTCTTTATCATTCTGGGGATCAAAGGGGAATAAATGCAACATTGCTTTGTGTAGATGATGTGTATTTGTGTGTGTGTGTGTGTGTGTGTGTGTGTGTGTGTGCGCGCGCGCACGCACGCGTGTGCTCATTCTCTTTTATCCATGTGTATATTTGTGCATGTCGGCAAGACTCGTACACATCCCTGGCTGTAGTATCTAACAAATCAGAGGAACAGCTGGCACAACGAAGGCCCTGCCCCAGCTGAACTCCCCAACCAACCCCCCGCTCCCCCTACCGCTGAGTTCCGCCTGCTGTGTATAAGCCAGAGGTTGGGAGGCGGAGGTGTGCGGATTACAGTAGGATTGCACATCCAGCTCCAACCCTGAGTCCCATCCAAACCACCACCACCACCACCCACCCACCTCCCCACACTCTACTCAGTGTTATGGTCAGCACATAACCATCTGGACACATCCCTGACATATGGACAGCTGCTGGGAGTCCGCAGGTCAGGCAGTCGGAGAGAGTGAAAGGCAGAGCGAATGAGAGCAGTGAAGAAGTCGTCAGAAAAGAAGGAAGAAATCAAAAAAAAAAAAAGGGAAATGCCAGTTAATTCCTTCTTGTGTCATCTTCTTAACCGGATAAAGCAGAGCGCTGGGGAGAAATGCGGGACAATAGTAAGCCATAGCTCTGTTTGTTTTCGTCTCTGTGTTTGGGTTATGTTGAGGACACATACTGCGCTTCACTCTCTGCTCTCTCTCTCTTTTACTTCTAAGCCACTCTTTTTCTTTTCCTAGTCTGCATTTATCTCACTCCTCCCTTCCAGACAGCTGGCAAAGCCAGTCTGGCATCAGGGCTGTCCAGACTTTCGCCTCCCGCACAGAGGATTTATAGCCTCCCCATGTCACTTGGCATTCTGAAATACCCCAAAATAATTCATATTTAACAGTCTGTGTGAGAATCTGCCAATGTGTGTGCACTTCTGAAGTCTGCATTTTCTTGTGTTTAATAGAGAGATGCTACCTGTCAGGGGTCCTTCTCTTGCCGTGCTCATTCATCTCCAGCATGATCTCGGAGGAGTCGAGGGGCGAGCTGGCATTGGCGTCCAGGAGCAACTGCTCATGTTGGGCCAGATACTGAGCTGGAGTCTGTTTGGCCAGTCTGGCACAGTGGAGCAATTCTCTCTGCAGCAGGGGCAGGTTTGCCTTCAGCGAAAAGAAGGGGAAAACAGACATCACTGATTAGAAATAAAATACGTTGTTGCAGGAAGGATATAGATTTATTGAACCGATGCAAACGTAGAGAAGAGTGTTAAGTGGACAAGAACTAGAAACTCTGGAACAATAGATAGATGGGGTGAGAGTGAAATAATGCCAGATTAGGGTGAGGGGGAAAAAAAGAAAGTGATAGATAAAGAGACAGGATGAGAAAAGACAGGTCCCTTGACACATTCCTTGACCGTGCGTCTCACTCTCTTTCTCTTGGGTGTGCCGTCGTGTATATTGTATCTCGATGTATTGTGTCTGTGAGTGTGTGGATGGGTGTGTAACTGTCAAATAGCTCTCTCAGACCTGTCGGCTTGATACAACGCAGCTATTGCTGCAATGTCCCAGATGTGGAGTATCATCGCACGCCAGGAGGTCTGACACTCTCACACACACAATCACACACACCCTTTATATCAGATATTTACATGCATAACTCAAAGTCACCCACAGTGAACATGATGGTGACTGCATTTACACAGCATACACCTATAGGTTTCCAGTTAAGACAGGAATTCCCATCCCACCTCACTTTGAACCCATTCTGCTTTGAGGCAGATAGCAAGAAGCATAAAGGAAAGAAATAGATATCTGCAGAAACACTGCCCTCAGTGCTGGCCATATGGAGCAATGAAGTTTTGTGCACGTCAACTGAAGACATTTATTTTACATAAAATCAATCGAGGCATTTACCTTTAGGAAAGGAATGACAAAAGGCCTCAGAGGGAAGTTGGTGGCCTCATGAAGTTTGGAGTGAAACTCTTCAATGGTGAGAGTGGAGTTCTGTCCAAGACAACAGAGAGAATGTGTGAGCAAGAGAGGACACAAGAGTCATGAAAAAATAAACCTGAACAACTTTTAAAACATTTGTAGAAGCCACAAAAATTCTAAAAAATTATATTCCTTTATCTTATCATCATGACAATCTTTTTCGTACTACATTTATATCTTGTGTTAATAAGAACAACAGTATAAAAGGACAAATTTACAATATGTAAAGCATTTTAATGAGTAAATTATTCCAAAATACACAAATCGCTTATTATTATGCTATCAAAAAAAAAAAAAAACATACAAGGATGTTGAACTGCTGTAAGTGGGTGTCTGCAGTGTTGTAGGAAAGGTCCAAAGGTTGAAAATCTACATGATCGAAACTTACCACCAGTCCCAACACAAGGCTGCGCACTCTCTCTCCGATTTCGGGTGATATGTCGTTGCCAAACTGCTGCAGCGTGGTCAGGAAACGCTTCAGCTTGCAGAGTTGCCTGGCACCGCAAGCTGGTGGGAGCTGTTGGTTGGACAATGAAGCCGTCGAGGACATGGCCGGCCCGTTGCTAAAGCCGTTGGGAGTGGACGGAGCACCATTTAGCGATGTAGGAGAGTGGCTGCTCCCATTCAGCACTGTACATAAGCAGACAGAAGGATGACACAGTGTGAATTGGGTCAGTAGTTTTGGAAGGGCCTGAGAGACATCTGACAGATCTGGGGGCATGATGAAGGCAGAAGCCCTTATATTGTGCTGGCAGAGGAGTGTGTGGTTAAGATGAAATACAGCAAAGTAAACCACACAATAGACTCACATTTGATGCCATGTCTGCAGCATTTGATGCACAAACTCTCTCTCTCTCTCTC